TCATCCGCTTCTCCAACAGTCCCAGACCATGGCCGGGGCTGTTGACATGGTGGGACCTGGGGGCAATGTTTATCAACAGCCTCAACATGCACAAATGAACTGGCCGAGTAACTACTGAAGCATTTTGTAAACTTCGAAAGAAGAATATCTTGGAAATTATTTTGGGCAACTCCAATTAGTTTGGGTGGAGAGAGGCATAAAGAAGATACGGAGTTGGCTTAGATTGAGTGTAAATCTGTGAAAGGAGGCTGGAAAAAAAAAGGAATTCGCCGATAGTATCTTCTGATTGTTTTAAGGACATAAAAGGTGCAGTCCACCTGTAACTGATATTGACCATTTTAGCTAGTCAGGGTAGGCATGGCAGGTCGTCTTTTTTCTTGCGCTGCTTTATGGTGTTACCATTTTTTCCGTTTTCGTAGTTTCGAGTCCTATCTGGCCTCTTCCCTTCAGTTTGTTCTACATTACTTTTTGAAGTTCTTGAACTTAGAATTTGCCGTTGAGTGGTGAGAATCTCTTTCCTTCTCTCTTTTATTTCCGAGGTCTTATAGGTTATGGAAGGTAAGATTATAGGCTGCTGAAGAATTTTTTGCATTCCATTGTCCTCGTCTTCCTGCTGTCTTACCTGTAAAGTGAATTTTGATAGCGAGAAACATCTGTATTGAACTGTTGTATTTGGTATAACAGAAGCAAACATGTCCATTCTATTAGCCGGCCCGGGTTTCGATGATGCTTCTCATAGTTTGCAGGCTTGCAAGTCGAATACTTTATGTTGGATGGAGAAATATGCAACTGAATTCAGATAATATTTGTGCAGAATGTTCACTTTCTGATATGTGCTACGTACGTTCTTTGTATTTTCCACATGCTGACTTCTGTGTCCGGACGCGTTTCTGCACACCAAAGAGCTTGGTGATTGAACAGCGTCGTTGTGCTTGATTGGTGGTATGATCGACCGGCGCTCATGGCAGAGAAGCCAAAGTTTGATGCCGTTTGATCGGATAGTCCGTCCAGGTGAGTTCAATTTAGTACGATGAGTTTGATGTGGCGTGACCTAAGTGCCTGCTCGACAGTATAAACTATTCTTTGAAACATGCCTGCCGGTAGCCGACTGTATCGGTCCGCGGACTATCCTTCGCTTTCCTGGCATTTGACCTTTTACTTGCTTAACGTTGTTAACTTCCAACTGGCCCAATCGGGGCGTACTACGAAGTTTTGGTTCTTGTTTTCATCGATGTCAACTGTGTTAAAAGGAAGCCAAGTGTGATCGATGTCTGACCATGTAGAACAATAGCCAAGCCACCATGTTCCATAAGTTTCTCAACGACCGTAAACTCAGACCGTTCTCACGGCGGATGCAACCCCCAGAAGCAGAGCCGGAGGTGGAGGAGGACGGTACGTCTACCTTGAAGATTGTCCATATCGGTGGAGGTGTTGAGAAGTACTACATGGCTACTCCTGCGGCGAAGATACTGGAGAAGCACCCCTCTTTCTTGCTGGCTAGGCCTGAGGTTTTTAGGCGGCCCTGGGACTCGGTAGTTAAACCTAATGAGATCCTCACGCCCGGTGAGAAAGTACTCCTTATTCCTCACCGAGCTGTGAGGAAGCTCCGGCGTAAAGTAAGAAAACCTAACAAAGAGCTTTCTGTCAACTCTTTTGTATCTCAATCTTCCATGGATGTCTCAACCGCAGCTGAGACAATTTTACGCTGGAAACAAGGTGCGGCGGTTGGTGAGCTAAGTGACACTTCTATTTGTAGTATTCTCAGAAGTAAGAGGAGTGTAGGCAAGAAACATGTGACATTCACTGGCATTGATGTCAAGCACCACGGTGGTGAAACCGAGCGTTCGAGTGAAAGCTCGAGCGCTCAATCTCACCGAAGGAAGAGGAGGGTCCGAAGTGCCAAGGTATGGCAGCCGTCGCTTATAGCAATCACAGAAACTCGTGAGAATGATCATGTGAAGAAATATGAGTGATGTTACCCTTCCCCTTCACCATAGAGAGTTTAATCATAATCATATAATCTTGTTTTTGTTTATTCAATGATAGAACAAGTTAACCATAAATTGTCGGCCTTGGCCGTTTAGTCTAATGAGTCTGAGTTCAAAACCCATGGACGATAGTTGTTAAATAAAAAGAAAAAGTATTACACGTTTCTGGGGGCTTTCTAATTTGAGTTTGGAGTCGTTTTAATCTTTTTTTAATGCATTTTATGTGAAATTATTTGAATTATATGATGTTTGTTGAGAACATATGTATCCAACATAAAAACAATAGTATGATCTGAATATATTATAATTTATAATAACATAGAACACCAAAGTATATGACAACATAGATTTTTCAAAAGTCTTAGTGGATAGAGTGCTGGGTTTTCGTCCACACGTCTCGGGTTTGAAACTCTTCATCTTCTTAAATTATTGTAATAGTTTCAAACTTTTTTTCCCAATAATAAAATTTAAAATAAAAACTTTTGCTTGCCATTTTGTTTTGGTCCTCTTTAACAAGAAAGAATCATTTGAGCATCCAACAATGCCATATGTGGCATAACACATAGAATGTACCAATTCCTTATGTCTTTTGCATAAGTACCATTTTTGACATGACTCAAACAGAAAGTTCATTCGTTTCGTTGGAAAGAATCAAAATTACGTCCAAGTATGATATATATTATCGAATATAACTATTGAAGGCGTGTTGAAGAATTCTAAACCCTAAATTTAACAAGTGGAACCAAACCACTTAGAACGATTCGCTAATTGCATTGGTTTACCGTAAATAAGAAAAAAATAGTAATTTTCACACATTCCTTTACATCTCTTACATACTCTTATTAATTTTGTCCATTGATTTCTTTTAATTCATTCAATCTGACAGCCGGAAGTTAAAAAAAATGTATAAAACATAAGAATGAATATTTAAATAGCACCACCAATATGGTCCTAGCGTGGTAGATCGTTATGGTCAGTCTTAATTTTTATTTTATTTTATTTTGTCAGTCTCATTTTTTATGATTTTGTGAAAAAAGTGATACTTTTATATAAAAAAGGGACAAAGGAAATATTCCAAATAAATTGTTTAGAAAAAGGAGGGGAAATAGAAATGTTTTGTTTTGTAAGTTTTAAAATAGAGGTATTCATCAATTTCCCCCTTAAAATTGTGACCATTAGCCAATTTCCCCCCTCAACTTTAATTTAGCCAATTTCCCCCCTCAACTCTTACAATTAGTCAATTTGCACCATACTGTTAATTTTTTAATTTGATCATAATTAAACAAGTGTGTGTAAGAAACTAAATAAGATGTATGTTAATCATGTTCCTATATCTCTATCCTATTACAAATAGATTAAAATTTAGAATTTTACAATTTATCATAGATAATATTATTAGTCATAATAAATCAGTATGGAGTAATTTTATTTGATTTTTGACTATACATAATTGATAACGAAAAGGATTGATGTGTAAATTTTTGTATGTGAATACAATTTTCTTTATAAAAGTGAAAGATAAGTTCAAGTAAATTGCGGAGAATCGAGCTTTAGTGAAAAAATGGCTAGTCTATTCATAATTTTCGACTCCTTATTAAGAATAACCCATTTTATTGAAATAGGTCTGATCCATGAGTTTAGGATTATTATTTCTTTTTGTTATTATTTCTTCTTCTACATGCTTTAAACCCGATTCATAACTTTTTCTTATAATCAACCCATATCACATACTAATTGTAATATGTTTTTGTACATTTTACCCCATATTATGCAAGTGAGTTTATGTTAATTTTAGTACTTTGTTGGAAGTTATTAGAAAGATTGAAAATTAAGAAAAGAATAGATGGAAAATAAAAAATAAAAAATAAATAACAGTAGGGTGCAAATTGACTAATTTTGAGAGTTGAGGGGGGAAATTGGCCAAATTAAAGTTGAGGAGGAAAATTGACTAATTATGTGAGTTGAAGGGGGAAGTTGGTCAAAATTAAAGTTGAGGGGGTAAATTGACCAATTGTCACAAGTTCAGGGGAGGAATTGATGAATACCTCTTTAAAATATAAGCAAGAATCGTCGGTAATTGTATTGGTGGGTGTAATTTGGACGGTTAGTGGTTGTCCTTACTCGCCTTTTTGTCTTCCCTCTATGTATTCTTCCGACCACAAGAATATTTTGTAGAGCACTATGCCCTATCATTTTAATAAATCAATTCACTTTCTTTTTTAAGAAACAAATCACCTTACTTTTGTATTAATATGAATTTACTTATTGTCAATACGATCTCTCTTTTGGTTCGAAGAATCTTCGGATATTGTTTGTGACCATTTTTTATTTATTGTAATCTTCTTTTAACTCTAGTATTAGTCTAGTAACAAGCGAAGATTTATAATTCATAATCTAAGTTCGAGTTTCCACATAGGTATTTGTTGGAGTCGTCAACTCTGCTTTAACATATTATTTGACACGAGAATTGAAAATACGGTGCTAATTCATATTGTACGGGAGCTACTCGAGAAGAATGATTGTTTTGTTATGAATGTGTCGTGGATTCCTCCTATATTAAATAACATTATAATGCTCTTTGATATCTAATATCCTATCGCTTATCCTCTAAATACAAATCACTTTAATTTGTTGAGCTAGTTGAATAAGCCTCGCATCCAAATCAAATGGATTACCTTCACTGCACATTTAAACATGCATTATCAACTCAGGTCGATATATTTTTAGAAGTTATCGTTACCATTTAAAATTTTAAATATTCTGTTACACACGTGTGAACAACTGACGTTAACATATCTGTTATAACATTGATGATCATACCGTATTCCAATTTTGGGGTATATCATATTAAATTTGACCCGTATTGTTTTCGGTTTTTGAAAAATAATCCCTTTTGTTTTGGAATTTCATATATTAATGCATTTTTATTGGAAAAGAGAAATTAAAAAAAAAAACCGAAAAGATTCTTCACCCAAAAAAAAAGAAAAGATAAAAAGAAAACTCCTCAATAACAGAAAGAGAAACTCGTGTGCTGTAGAGAGAGAGAGAGAGAGAGAGAGAGAGGAGAGATGGGGGAGGAGGAGCAAAGCTCAGTGGGAGTGGAAGGAGAAGAAGAAGAATTGGCAGAGAAGGTGGGGGAGGCAGAGACATGGAACCAAAGGAAACAAACCCTTATACTCGAAATCTCCTCAAAGCTCATCCATGGCGATCTCGAATCCAAGATTGAAGCCGCCAGAGATATCAGAAACTTGGTCAGAAAGTCTTCATCTTCGTCCTCGTCCTCGTCTTCCAAGACTCGCTCGAAGCTGGGCGCGGCGGGCGTGATTCCGCCGCTGGTGTTGATGCTCTGCTCTCCTAATCCGGATGCGCGCCAAGTTTCCCTCCTCGCCCTCCTCAACCTCGCCGTCCGAAACGAACGGTACTTTTCGCTGCTCTGCTTTTGAATTTCTCTCTGTTTATTGACTGATGAGATTTTAAGGATTAGGAATTGCTAATTTTGGCGGTGGGTTTTGTTTGCTTTGTGTTAATTTCGGGAAAGATTGAAACTTTATGCGTTCTGTGATTGTTTTGTGATCAGAGAGGAAATTAGTTGATATGATATGGGTTTTATGTGTTTTTTTTGGATTTTGGTTGCAAAAATGAAAATAATTGCTCACATTTATATCAATTAAATGGATTTTGATGAGGTGATTATCAAAAAAAAAATTGATAAGTTTGTTGGTGATTTCTTGATTGAGATTAGTGAGTACGAATCGTGTTTGTCCATAATTGTGTGGATTTGATCACTTCGTTATTTACTAGCTTAGGGAGGATGAGATGCAGAAGAACTAGATGATAGTGAATTTTTCCGTTGTTTGGTAACTGAGGAAGTTGGGGTTGGGCCAAAGAGTTGATACTAAAAACGGTTGTTGATTTCGGGAAGAATTAGGTTCCTGTCCGTTCAATTTACGGAAATTTCTGTCTCAAGGTGGTTATTAGAGGGGGAAAAAATGGAGAGAAAGAACATAGCTTGAGCATGTCAAATTACTTGAGGAATAACTTTTTTTGACAAGTTTTGATCTCCTTGTGCTGATACACTGGAGGATCCAACAGGATCTTGAAACCCTTGTTGCAAATGAGATGGAATGCCCAAGGCTTGACCAATCAGATGGCTTTGTTTGGATATCATATCTGATTGAAGGGTGTGAGGCCGCGGGTTCATTTTTGTCCTTGTTTGTTTCTTCATATACGTGGCAATGAAAACTTATGTGGTAGTTAATAGAGAGAACTTTATTCCCAAAGTTAAAATATTATCTCCCTCTTAATGCTTCACAAGCATCGTGATACCAGAAAATCACCTTGGGTCACGGTTATTGCGCTTAAATTGTGTCCTCCAGTTCTTTTCTTATCTCTTTAATGTGGGGGATTCTCCTCAACTGTAATCATGTGAATTCACAGTTATTATATGTGAATTTAAAGTGGTCCCAAGTTCTGCAATCGATTGCTCTTTGGTCGTTACCCTTGTTTTAGGTTATGGCATTTACTTGTATAATATTCGCCATGTCAGTATGACTTATTGGGTCCTTGTTTGATGCTAATTAGGAATAAGGTCAAGATTGTGATGGCTGGAGCCGTCCCCCCTCTTGTTGAGCTCCTCAAGTTCCAAAATGGTAGTTTAAGGGATTTAGCAACTGCAGCAATCTTAACACTCTCAGCTGCTGCACTGAACAAGCCAATCATTGCAGACTCTGGAGCTGCACCTCTCCTGGTTGAGATCCTGAGCTCCGGAAGTGTTCAAGGAAAAGTTGATGCCGTGACCGCCTTACACAATCTCTCTACCTGCAAAGAGAACTCAACTGCTATTCTGGATGCTACAGCTGTTTGTCCTCTCATCAACCTTCTCAAAGAATGCAAAAAGTACTCAAAGTTTGCCGAAAAGACTACTGCCCTTCTTGAGATCCTATCCAACTCTGAAGAAGGGCGTACTGCAATCTCAAACTCAGAAGGTGGGATATTAACCTTAGTAGAGACTGTTGAAGATGGATCCCTAATCAGCACACAACACGCGGTTGGAGCATTGCTTTCCATGTGTCAGAGCTGCCGCGACAAATACAGGGAACTCATTCTTAATGAAGGTGCAGTCCCAGGTCTTCTTCGACTGACAGTAGATGGCACAGCTGAAGCTCGGGAGAGAGCTCGTACGCTGCTAGACTTGCTTAGAGATTCTCCCCAGCAAAAGAAATTGGCCTCCTCCGTTCTGGAGAGAATTGTATACGACATTGCCACTAGGGTCGATGGAGCAGACAAAGCAGCTGAAACTGCAAAAAGGTTACTGGAAGACATGGTTAAAAGAAGCATGGAGCATAGCATGGACCGAATCCAGCAGAGAGCTGCATCTTGTACACCTTCGGATACTCAGTCTGCGTAATAATTTTGTTTGGCGGTAGGAGTTTCGCAAATCACTCGGTTAAAAGAGTTTTAATCTGAATCTATGTATTTGTTTGGGCAGTTAAAACTCTGCACCCTGCTAATTCACCCTCCAGGATGAGTTAGAAATTACTGGAGTTGAAATGTTGGATTGGAGTAGGGGTGAATTGTGAGTCCATTGTACATCTCAAACTTTGTTCATGTATATATATAAAAGTCACTCTTTGATATTTTAGTGCACATTTCTTCTAACCACAAGTGAAAACAAATTCACACATTTACCCTTGCACTGGAGATTTTGTCTTCGACTCTCCCTCCAAATCCATCTCTTTCGATAAAATGAGAAAACTATATAATTGAAGATCGCTTGTATTCAAAGCAACCCCAAAGTTTGACATGTTCAATAGGGAAAATTTGCTTTTGACGAGAATGTTACTGTGCCATTATCCTAAACCATGGTCAATCACGCATTGGGCATTTTAATTTTGACAATGTGATTGACTTAAGATACCGCAACAATAACATTTCTCGTATAATGGGATGTCCTTGTGATGTTATCTCAAATCAATCACACATTGTCATGTGTTTTAACTTTCTCACATGAAAATGTGCGATTCACTCAAGAGATTGCCCCCGGTAACATTCTCCAATGACCCTAGTAACATTCTCCAATGATAGTGTTATCTCAAGACAATTATGTACTGTTATGTGTTTTAACTTTCTTACATGATAATGTGACCCATTTGAGAGACAAACACAATAACATTCCCCATGTAATGGTAATGACATGTTGGATCTTGTAAGGCACAATTGTCCCATATTGACCAAACACTTGAGCAAATCCATATTTATAAAAGTGATTGAAAAGTTATGGGCCAAAGTCATGGACCATGGGCCTTGGATTTCGGTACATAAGTATTGTTTTTGTTTTCTATGTCTAAGTTTTTTCCGAAACGATAAGACTATTTACTGAAAACAGTCAACTTTTTTGAAAGAATAAGAGTGAATTTAAACAGTCATAACTGTTGATGCCAAATATGGTTGTAGTATAAAAAACATAATGAATTAATTTGCAATGTTTTCCTTCTATTTCTTTCATTGAGAAACATGCCTCAATTTGCCAAGAATCCAAGTTCGAGTGAAAGAACTTAGATTAGATAGTTGTATTATGCATGATAGGCGTCCAAGAACTACTGCACAGGTCTGGGGACGTAATAGTTGTATCCTGCATGATAGGCGTTCAAGAACTACTGTAAAGGTGTGAGGACGTGTTTCTACAAGCCTATCTTCGAAAAACCAAGTTAGTATATTTGTTCTGATTCTAGTTACAACTTCGCTTACATTTTCATATTTGTGATTAATTTATATAGTTCAATTTGATTTATGTGTGTGTATATCATTCATAAGTGGTTGGTTCAAACATGACATTGTGACGTTATCTTAAACCAATTACGTACTATCATGCATTTTAACTTTCTCTATCATGCGTTTTAACTTTCTCACACGAAAATGTGATTAACTCAAATTGCTGCTGCAATATCGTTTGCGTTGCATATAAGTCATCTCTCATTCTCTTGGCTCATGTGGCAGGGCTGGGAGGCTGGGATCCATTCCATCCTGTACTTAAAACTGAAGGACAGTCTTCTATTTAGTACCACATAAAGCCTTATCCACCGCCCCCTTAAACAGCAAAGGCACCGACCTAGATCCACCCCAAATTTAACAAACCTCCAACATTTTCACCAACCCTTACAATGTCACATCATTTTTAGGTAAAAAAATTGTTTATCCAGTAATTAAAAGGGTTGTATTTGGAGCTTAAAATACATCATTAATTAACTTAATTAATTAATTACTTTCACTATCACCTTATTAGTTTTTGCTAATACTGATAGTGAAAGCCATTAATTAATTACTTAAAATTACATATTTGCCACTGTCGGTGTGTCTGCAGTTGTTTAACTGTGAAGTAGAAGCTTCCCTAATAAACACCGGACTAATTAAACCTGGATTAGTTACTCCCGGGTGCGCACTACGCCGAACCAGTCATCGCCTTCCCGTAATAGACACCGGACTAATAAACCGGGATTAATTACGCCCGGGTACCCGTCGACTCCTTCCACGCAGCTGCATCCACCACGTGGAGCCATCCTAACAGATAAGCGCAGTACGACCCTGCTCAGTCTAGCACTGGGCGATATAGTTTTATAATCATCGTAATCGTCCCTCCTCGCTGAAAGGTCAGAGAATTTGAGGGAGAAAATCCAGCAGCTGCCCGCACTTCACACTCGCACTGGAGAAGCCAAGTCGATAGAGCAATGGTGACGAAATGAAGCTTTCCCGACGGTTCTAGCTTCATCTCTCCGTGAGAACCGGTAGAAGAAGGTAAAAATCTTTGCTCATCTGCTAATGTTTTGGCTTCGTACATTGCATCGATTCGTAGATCTCCAAAACCCCACTTGGAATTTGTTCAAGGATCTGAAAATAAACAACCTAAATCGAACAAAATCTTATCTTTTTCCAATCCCATATAGTTTGTTTCTCCATTTTATTTTACTGAAGCTTCGTTTTTGTGTGGTTTGGTGATCTGGGTGGTTGTGTTTTGTGGTAGATTGTTGGTTTGGGGGGTTGTGGAAGAAGCTTCTGGTTCAGAAAAATGATGGGTCGGTCTCCGTTTGCTAGAGCTGGGGGGTTTAGGCCTGAGAATTTAGGTCCCAGTGCCCTTGCCTTGATTAGGAACCTTTGCTTTACGTTTTTTGTGCTGGGAGTGTTGATCTTTACTATCATTGCCGCCACCTATGAACCTGAAGACCCGTTGTTTCACCCGTCGACAAAGATCACTACATTCCTCACATCCAAATCCAATGCCACTTTCAAATCCGATGACACTGTGGTCAAGACTGGTGAGAATTTCTTGGCTCCCAATCAAACAGAGATTGGCAACTTTATCAGTATGACTGATGTTGTTAACTTGAGCGAGGGCGATAACTCGATCACTCAGAATTCTGAAGCAGAATCTGCCAGTTGTGAGGGTCCCATTGATTGCAGGGACCCGGAAGTGTTCCATTTGATGATGAGGGCCACCATAGAGAAGTTTAAGGATATTCATTTTTACCGGTTTGGGAAACCAGTGCAGGGTTCGGATGGTAACAGTTGTGATATGGCATGGCGGTTTAGGCCTAAGGAAGGGAAAACTGCTTCTTTTTACAAGGACTATCGGAGATTTAGCATTTTGAAGTCTGAGAATTGTACTCTTAGTGTGGGTGATATTGGAGAGTACCATACAGGAGTAAATGCCAGGAAGAGGAAGAAGAAGGCTGGGTTTGATAAGCAAGGGAAGACAGAGGCCGGGTTTGATAAGCAAGGGAAGACAGAGGTGAGTTCTTTGCCAGTTGTTGGGGAGGTTGTGAATGATACCCTACCGGTGGTTGAGTCTGAAGGTTCATTCAGTCATGGGAAGTACTTAATTTATAGTGGTGGTGGAGATAGGTGCAAGAGCATTAACCATTACTTGTGGAGTTTCCTGTGTGCTTTAGGTGAAGCTCAGTACCTGAACCGAACTTTGGTCATGGAATTGACTCTTTGTCTGTCTTCGATTTACACTTCGTCGAATCAAGATGAGGAAGGGAAGGATTTCAGGTTTTACTTTGACTTTGAGCATTTAAGAGAGTCTGCATCTGTATTAGATGCAAAGCAGTTTTGGACAGACTGGGAAAAATGGCAGAAGAAAGACGGTTTGGGTATGCATCTTGTAGAGGATTATAGGGTCACACCTATGAAACTTAATGATGTCAAGGATACTTTGATTATGAGAAAGTTTGGATCTGTGGAGCCAGACAATTATTGGTATAGGGTTTGTGAAGGGGAGACAGAGTCCGTAGTACAACGACCATGGCATTTGGTGTGGAAATCGAGAAGGTTGATGGATATAGTGTCTGCAATCGCATCAAAGTTGAACTGGGATTATGACTCTGTGCACATTGAGAGAGGGGTGAAAGCACAGAACAAGGAGCTTTGGCCTAACCTTGATGCAGATACTTCACCTAGTGCACTTCTCTCAACCCTGCCAAACAAAATTGAAGACGGAAGGAACCTCTACATTGCAACACACGAGCCAGATACATCTTTCTTTGACCCTTTGAAAGATAAGTATACCACTCATTTCCTTGACGAGTACAAGGATCTTTGGGACGAAAGCAGTGAGTGGTACTTTGATACCACTAGGCTTAACAATGGAGTCCCTGTTGAATTTGACGGTTACATGAGGGTCTCGGTTGACACAGAGGTATTCTTGAGAGGGAAAAAGCAAATAGAAACTTTCAACGATCTCACCAAAGATTGCAAGGATGGTATCAACAGTTGCAGCACCGCGACCAGCTGATCCCCGCAAATTAATTTTCAGACTTCGCCATTTGCTACATTGCCGATATCCACGTGTACTGTTTAGCTATTTTTCTGTTCTGCATTTGAGAATTTGTAAGCCTAAATTGATTGTTTTAGAATTAAGTAGCTTTTGTCATGAGTTTGTACTTGTAGAAAAAGCACTATCAATATCCATCACTTCGAATTTCACTAGTGTGCACTTGAACTACGGTTTTGTTTGATGTCAATGTCTTATGTATTGAATCATGTGATCTTCTTGTGTGGTGTTGTTCCAGAATTCTTTTTCTTCGATAAATAGTTGAACTTTTTCTTTTATTTTGGTTCTAGATTTTTAATTTCTTTCCAAGTAGCGAGTTGTTACTCGCACTCCCGAAAAAGATGTGAAATAAAATAAAAAATGGAATGCAAAATAACTAATTTGAAGTGCTAACAACCATTCTCGACATCAATAGAAGTTGGGAGTACTGAAGGCTCCCTTCATGGCCTTCCTCTTTATCATTTGTTTGGTCACATGCCAACTTTCCATCCTCTACGATCTTTTACCTCGAGGGAGGACATTTAGCAGAGAAGGTAAGTACCAAGTTGCTCGTGCTTCCGTTAATATTATTTTACTTTCACTTTTTGCACTCTTAACTTTATGGTCATTAGATTTAATAAATCAAAGGAAAAAAAAAATTAGTAAATCAAATCATTGAAGAAGGTATAAAGGAGAAGAGCGGAAACCACCTTATTTTAAAGGCTGATGCTATCCATACATCATTTTACATTCGAGGCACTCCTTGTTAATTTGTGTCTTTTAATCTTCTTCAATTTTTTCGATCCAACGCCTGAAAATTAACAAAGTATG